AAAATTCCCTGTTTCATGCCTTTCAGGCTAACTCGTAAGTCTGCCCATAAAACATTCCTAGGAAAGCTGGTACGGACAGCAGCGACCTGGTAAAGGTCAGTGCAAACTTTGAATCCCTTATCAGACGCATTGCAAACATGGCTATAACTATACTACTACCTTGATTTCAATAGATGGTTTATTTTCAAAGCAAATGGCTCGGGTGAAAATGTCCTGCAAATGCAGTGAACGCTGTTGTATGCTGCTATTTCGCAAATGCCTCACCTTTCATATTTCATCATAGATGTTTATGCATTTGTGCATAGTAATATGACCTACAACATTTTTGTATCTTAAATACTTTTTGTGTATTGATGTATTGCTTGAACAAAGCTTTTAAGGGCTTCTCTCATTTACTCCAAACTGATAGTGATGCTGTAGCACCTTCCACGGCCGCTGCCCACGCCGTGGAAGAGATCACTTGATCAGGGTTCTCCATCTGCTAGACAGTGTACGCACACAGCCTCTCTGGGATGGCCAATCACTGGCACCCACAAACTGCTACCGCCCAATCAGCCGATCAAGTGCACACTAACTGGGCCGCAAAGGACTCATGAGCCGACAGACGTGCAGTTGAGGGCCTAGAGCTTGCCGTGCCACAGAGTTTCTGCACCGAATACACACTACTCCTACTTGTGTCTTTCTTCTTCTCTACCAAAAGGGAATTCGGCTTGATGAATGTAGTGCTCTGGGCCCAAACGCAGCTTAGAAACTCAAACTCCAGTTCCCTCGTCAGTCGACTGACAGGATCAAGGAGTGTGCTGGAACGGAGATTAAAAAATAACGTAGCTAAGGGCTGTGAGGTTCTGATTGTCCATGCCAAATGGCCTAGTCAAACCGCGTACGCGGCCCAGGAGATGAGACCGGAAGAGCGGTTTGGAGGAATCTTGCTCCCTTTTTTTCTCAAATATGCAACCTTTTTCGGGAGTCCGTGGGTTGTTAGGTTAACATGCATGCATTGGGATAAAACAGGAGTTGAGGCCACAGGTACAGTGAATAGAACAGCCTGCAAAGAACTGCAACGATGGGATGGGGGCGGGGGGGGGCAGACTTACGGCGTTCACACCTCGGGCCGTGCCAGCCACTGCCACGACAGTCACACTTCAGCTCAAATTTGTCCACGTAGCAGACACCACCGTTGAAACAGAAGTCTGGCGGGCATTCAACCACGGGTTTCTTGTCAGGCAGCGTGAAGGAGGGTAGGAAGACATAGACCACTTCGCCCGTGACGACCTGTAGACCGCCCTTTGCCTCATCGATGGGATATCGA